ATTCTTTCAACTTCACATACTAATAAAAGTCAGAATGAAGAATATGATCAACAAAAAAGTAACCCATATATTATGAGGCCATAGACTTTCAGCTTGAAAGAATAAAATGAACAAAGAAAAGGTGAACATATATAAACAATTTGTTGTTGTTAAGTGCCATTGAGTTGGCTCTAACTCATAATGACCCTGTACAAGGTTTCCAAGCAGTGGTTGGTGAGCTTGTACCACTGACCTTGTAATTCAAACTGACCTTCAGTCCATTGCATTATCCCACAACATCACACCAGGACTCCATATAAACAATGTTGTTGTTGTTGTTGTTGTTGTTAAGTACCGTGAAGTCGGTTCCGACTCATAGTGACCCTGCAAAGGGTTTCCGAGGCTGCTAATCTTTACGGGAGCAGAAAGCCTCATCTCTCTCCCACGAAACAGCTGGTAGTTTCGAACTGTCGACCTTGAGGTTAGCAGTCCGATTCGTAACCATTATGCTACCACAGCTCCTTAACTGATATAAAAATTGATGTAAGTATCAATTTACTTGACAGTGATGGAATACTATGCCCAACAAAACTATAATACTAATTCTTTTCAAGAGCATAAGAAACACTGACCAACATACATCATCTTTTAGGTAGGTTATCAAACAGGAGTCCTGAACTTAAAATTGAGAAGAGTAATACATCAATTAAAACAATAAGATGCTATTGTTGATACTTGCTTTGAGTTCATTCTAACTCATGATGAACCTATGTGTGAAAAGCAGAAATCCATAGGATTTTCAAGACTGATCTTTTTGAAAAAAAATTCAACAAGTAGATCTTTCCTGACACCTATGGATGAATTTGGAACTCCACACTTTTAACTAGTAGTCGAACATTTACCCATTAGTGCCATTCAGAATTCCAAAATTATATGATACTGTATGCCAAAAAAAAAGGAGTCTCAAAGCTTTGCTACGAAAAGTTTGGTATGAAAACAGCAGTATCCATTTCACCTTGACCCCGCCACAATGTTACTAAATCAGAACTGCATTTACTTTTTTTTATAGTTCATTGGTACACACTGAACTTTAAATATTTAAGCAATACTCATCTGTCACTCTGTCATACTATGGTGGCTTGTAGGTTGTTGTGGTACAGAATTTAAAATACAGAAGTGTCACTCATGGTGAAAACTTTCAAACGAGCTTTCTGACAAAAACAGACCATGAAGAAAGAGAGGTGAATCACTGATGTGCAGTTAGCCACTTATGAATAGCAGAAGAACATTGGCTAATACAGACCCAAAAGATGAGCTGCTCAGGTGAAAGGAACTCAAAATAT